AATGATACAAACTCCGTCCTAAGTGCAAACAATATTATTTATATGTCTTTGATCTTGTTCTTTCTACACTACATGTTTCGGCCTCTATCGGCCATCATCAACAAGATCAAAGACATATAAATAATATTGTTTGCACTTAGGACGGAGTTTCTATCATTTATCGTGTAGAGTGCAACAGGATGCTTAAATATAATATTGTCTTACCGACAGTTCTGCAGCAGTCATCTAGTCCAATCAGTGACAGTTCACGAGCAGCAGCTCAGTGAGTTTGTCGCGTTTTTAACTCCTATAACTTTTGTAGTCATGGAGCAAAGAGTGAATACAAAATTTTGTTTTAAACTGAATAAAACAACAACAGAAGTTTTCGAAGTGTTGCTACTCTCAATGGCGATGAAGCCTTAAGAAGTATAGCAGAGTGTTTGAATGGTTAAACCAATTAAAGATGGGCGTGAGGGTCTTCAGGATGATCTAAAAGCCTCTCGAGATGCAGACGGCGAAACTGTGGCATGAGATCGTCGATGAACTCTCAGAATGATGGCGAATGAATTGCACGTCAGTAAGGAGACAGTGGGCTTACGGACGAGGATCTGCGCAAAAGTTGGTCCCACACAGACGGACGAGCAGAAGCATCAGAGATCATAACAAGGCTTCATCCAGATTTGTAAAGAAAATCATAAATTTTTATTACATTTTCTGTTTCCTAATGTAACAACTGCCCTCAAAGCAAAGTGGTTTCAGGATGCTGAAGACATTAGGATAAACATGACGGCCGAAAAGAACGCTGCTCCTCTGGAGGCTTTGTCTGCTGTTTACAAACACTTTTTAAACCATTCAACACGTGTATTCAAGTAGGCGGAGATTATTTTGAATACAAATAGAAACATTTGTTATTTATTTATTGTTTTGAATTCTTTTTTCACAAAAGTCCGGGAACTTTATTGCCAGAATTTGTACACACTGTGGTAGCAAACCGATTGTAAATCGATGTGAAGTAAAGGTGTAAAATTAATATTTACAGTCAAATTTGGGCTGTCTTAAGACAGAAACGGACTCTTTCAAATTCGGGACCTGGTCCTAGTTGAGTCCTCCGGCGCCATTGTACCTACGCTTCTGGTCAATTGTAGCCGCACCTGAATGCTAAAAGATGGAAAGCCAGACTATGTTTATTTTTGTTGTAAAGGTAAAGGAGGCCGGTCACGGCAGCCGAGCGGTCTAAGGCATGCACTGTCTTCGCTCGCTCAGAAGCCGGGATCGTGGGTTCGAATCCCACTCAGAAGATGGATGTCTGTGTGCGTTTTTCTGTGTTTGTGTACAGGTAGAGGCCTTGCGACGAGCTGATCACCCGTCCAAGGAGTCCTACCGTATGTCTGAGATCTAGTAAACCGAAGTGAACAGAGAGTTTCATGGAGGTAGGCCTAGGCCCAAATGAGGGCTGTAGCGCCAATAAAAAAAGTTAAAGAAGGTAAAATTGCCCCTGCACTCAATTAATTAAACACCACGCCTTGCAAACGTATCTAGGAGTGGAAGATTAGCTCCACCATTCTTGGTCAGCTTCACGCCCCAGCCACTTTATCCCCAGGTGAAGAGCTCCCCGTATTCATTGGATGGATGCTCGGGTGGACCACAGCGCCGGTTTGAACGTTATTGAGAAAAGATAATCGTGCCCCTTTCGGGAATTGAACACCAGCTGTCCAGCCCGTAAAGTACCGTCATACAGATAAATTTTTCGTGGGAGGCACTTAAGGCATTGGAATGCAGAGGTTATGGTGGGAGATATGAGGGATGGGTGATGAATACAAAACCTTGTTTCGAAAAACCTCTCAGAAAAAATCCACTTGAAAGACCAAGAAGGAAATGGAAGGACAATATTAAATGGTATTTGGGGAGGTAGGTTGTTAGGCTTGGAGGTGGATGGAACTGTTTCACGGTGATGTCCAATTGCGGGCTTCAGCATTGGCGGTGTTGATCTGCTACCTCAGAGCAAATCAGTTTGCAGCGAAGAGTTGGTACTCCTGTGGCGAAATGAGACGACAATCCGGGATCATTGATTATTGTCAAAGAAGGTGAATTACGTATTGCGCATCGGGACGCGCCGGTTTGGAGCCAGCGTCACGTGGACAGCAGTTTCAATAGACTGCTGCAATAGGTGTGGAACTAACTTGTGCTCATTCCCTTATTAGAACTCGAGAATTTTTATTGCAGTGAAAAATGTAGTGATCAAATTGTGAGTGTAATGAACGTGTACGAAGAATGGACAAAGTGGCCCTTCGCATCAGGTTTGGCAGGGTCTGGCCGAATTCCCTGGTCACAGAGATCGTTCAGTAACTATATAGCTTAAATAAAGTCTATTTAAATGTGGAAATAACGCGTATACGCGCGTATGCAACATCAGTAGAGCTGTAGCTGTAGAATATGTTTCTTATTCAGCATCAGATGTAGTGTAAGACAGAAAGTTTTGTAGCAGTAAATGAATGTGGCAGTTCAACTGTGTTGGTAAAATCTTATAAATTAATTAAAATTATAATAATATGTATCAAAATGCATATCATTGTTAGCATATTGAACCTTATGAAGTTCATGTACCTTTGAAACACAGATGTTTTCTTTAATGGGGTAGGGGTTGAGGTGGGGGTAGGATTATGGAATTCCCTTATTGTCTGCATATGTGTCCCCTCATATCGACGTTTGAACGAATTGACCGCTTTTCATAAATCTTGAAGTGGACGTTACGCTGTTGGAGGCCACCCCAGCACCGTAGGCCGTAATTTCCTGGAAGACAGATGAAAGCGAATTTATGCGGTGGGACTGACACTGCTGTCACTTTCTTTAGGGTTTTGGAATGACATATTTACTGGATCTTGGAAAACTGTGCCACTTGTTTGTGTAACACTAATAAAAGGTAAAGTTATCTCTGTAAGGCGGTGAAACCCATATGGTTGTGAGACGTCGAGGCTCCCACACTTTCTAGACAATCGGCTCACAGATGGCGGTGAAGCTGTGAGCCTTACGCGCTGGCCCCCATTTACCCCCAGGAAGATTCCTGGTACTTATTTCTGTTAGAGGCTGAGTCGACCCCAGGGCCATAATGTGGCTGAAAGGATTAGGTCAGTTGAAATTCCAGTCATAGAATGTAATTTGGTAGCGATAACTAAAATTTGGTACGGAAGTAGATCATGAACATAGATACGTCTTATGTACATGTGTGTCAAAAATTGCAAACATGGCGCGATGCGAACATTTGAGGCTACGATCGACAAATGTAATGCGGGACAGAATCTGTGATTAAATAGTAATAATAATAATAATAATAATAATAATAATAATAATAATACATTTAAATCCAATCCTTTATTATTTATGTGCCGAGTCAACAGCCACAAGGCCAGTTACAGACACAGCACAGTGTAGATACAAGTAATTACATTATGGACAATCAAAACTTAAAGTTAAAGTCAAATTACAGGCAAGCACTGGAGGAAAAACACAATCAGAGAAGTAAACAAAACAAACAAAGTAATAATAATACTTTCATTAACAAAAATCGAAGTTGTTTTTGAGAATTGGGAAATGTAAAGTATACATATTTAGAAATAATAATAATAATAGTAATAATAACAACAACAACAATAAATTAGTATATCTGTCGGACAATAAATCTGTCTAACAAGACAGTATCTTATGAGTTCTACTCCGAAATCTTTGTATTAAAATATTTTCGCATTTAAGTGCACCATCTTTGCCGGCTTACTTTGTAATTGTTCTGTAAACACGTCTGCACGCTTCAACTTTGGTGACATATTTAGCTTGCTTACATCTGCATGTTCTGTATTTCAGAATTGGCGATAATTACTCGAGTCCAAAATAGCCTATGCATGCATTAGAAGGAAGCTGGTGTTGACTCCGTTAATCACTGTGCATTACAGGGAGCTGAGAAATTGCAAGGAAGAAGGTCAACACCCGGGGCTCACAAATTACAATTGTTAACAAAGATCCACATGAAACATGTACTGATGAATCTAACAGAATTCCTTATGTTAAAATCGAATCTTCAAACTCCTTCTTTTAAGTCTATTGTAATGAGTTTCAAGAAGCACATTTATAATGAATTTAAATAACCAAAAACTAACCAAATGGAGTTGAGCTCTTCTTGAGAAGCCGTCAGTTGTGCAGCTACTCAAGAAATTTCCAGCATTTTATGGAACGCGAAGGTTAATGAGTTTAAATGCTGGAGCAGATATACTATAGCTTATTTTTTAATACTTTGAATACTGGATTTGTTCTAAGTAGTATATAAAAATTCAGTTCTTACCTCACAGGAAACGCATTACGTGTCCGCAACAAAGTCAGTCGGTTGGTGCTCCCTGGATAATATTACAAATTCAGTTGTACAACTTCCTATGGCACAACTGGATAAAAGTAAACATTTTGTTTTTTCTTTTATTTCTCTCTCTGACTCATGGTCAAGAAAATACAATTCTAATGCATATTTTTTTTTCAAATGTAGGTTTCATATTGTAAAGAACTGAACATTTAAACATTTAACCACCTTCTTTTTAAAAGACTCAATGAGAAGCTAAGTATTTGGCCTCTAAAATTGTTTTCTCTGATTTTCTGTTTCAGAGATATGAAATGAATAACATTATTTATAAACATTCCAGGATTCTATCCTTGCCGTTTATCCATTTTTTTATTCTTTTATGTCTCATTATATGTGTACTAAATTTTAAGTTTTAATTCCAACTGTAAGTACTTTAAATTGTTTCACATGCATGCACTTGAGAATCGGCATGTGACCTAAAATTATAGTCTTCTGGATTCTTTAAATTTCAACCCAAAGGCGCGGGCAGCGTTTTCCTGAAACATTGGTATTTCAAACGATGTCAAAACCCTGAAGACCACGCACTCTGAACAGTCGCAGCCATGAAAACCTTAAACTTTATGTTAGTATTTCACATGATGTATTATTGTTACTTTATGGCTGTACGGGTTTTGGATTGCAGGATGAAAATGATGCTGAAGGTAAGAAAGGGGAGGAGAAACAAGATCATGACTGTGGCCATCAGGGGAAGAGTGGCGCCTGTCCACTGTTGCTCACCTACAATGATGCTCCCACTCACCTCAAGTTCAATCCTTACATCCGTAATGGATACAGGGGTTACCTTACCACGAAGATGTGTCTGGAGAGGTAAATACAACTGCCACAGGATATCTTAGTAAAGTACCAGAAAACAAAGTACTACAATGCTCATGCAACCAGGTCTAGAGACAATAGTACATCAGAATGTTGCATTCAAGTTTTACATGACTCTTTTTTGGTTTAGCATAAAGTGTTATAGGGGTCTAGGAAGTTTGCAGAATGTGGACCAGTCTTTGATGGTTATCCTCTCTAGGATGTTCAAATCAAGATGGATGAAATGGGGGGGAGGTATGTCAGACCCATATGAGAGAAGATAAATGTATGCAAAATTTTAATAGGAAAACCCAAAGGAAATATACCGTGTGGAAGGTATCAATGTGGATGGGAGGGTAATATTAAAATGGATTTTAAAGAAATAGTTTTGGAGATTGTGGACAGGATTCATCTGGCTTATAGTAGGGACCAAAGGCAGGGCTTCAGAACAACACAGTAATGACATTTTGGTTTCCATAAAATGTTGCAAATTTCTAGACCAGCTGAATAACTATTGGATTTTTAAGAAGGTTTCTTCTCCATGGAGTTACTTAGTTTATTGATTTATGGTTTTTAATGACATTGTCAGTAGCTCAAACTATATAACATGGAATGATAAAAAAGGTAAAGTTGTCCCTGTGCCTAACACATTAAATATGACACCATGAAAACATATTGGGAGTGGATGTATAGATGCATGTATTCTTGACCTTGGCACTTGTTTGAGGTGAGTGGTCAGCTTCACATCTGGCCTCGTTACCCCTAAGGAAAGAGCCACAGTACCCATTGGATATGGGGCTGGGTGGGTCCCAGAATTGGTGTGGACAGTGTGGAAGAGAGAAAAATCTTACTCCTACCAGGACTTGAACTCTGACGCCTCGGCCATTACAATGATTACTGAATGATGAGTTGGAAAGAATGTGGAAGGAAGTAGAAATGGCCTATTTCAAGGCACTATCCTGGCGATCACCTGGAAGGACTGAGGAAAAACCAAGTCAGGGTAGCTAGTGTCCTGAATGAGATTTGTGCTGAGTAATTCCTGAAGACAAGTCAGAAGCGATACTTCCAGAGCCAGCTTCCTCAGTATTTAGTTAGTTATATACATGTAAACGGTAATTTAGTTCTCAAATAAATGGTAATTACAGTTAATTATTATGGTTCACTAGTTTCCTGTTCAGGTGTCAAATATTGCATGAATCCCAACTGTAAAATCTCAAGACTTTCTTTTCTCCCATTTTGAAACACAGTATCCCATATTGTAAGACAGAGAACTGAAAGTGAATTTTATGAAGCCTATCCTAAAGTCTGTTAACTTATTTTGTGTTGATTTTTGCTATTTACATTTCAAAAACAAATGTTACTTTATGTATTCCAATGTTTACGTTTGTCAGAAACTTATAAAGTTATCTCTTTTGTCATATCTGAATACTGGTACCTCTGTGTTTTTGACGAAACATGCACAATATTATCTTATTGAAGTCTCTTTGCTTACATTGTACCTAATGATGTACATGATTGTGTACATGTTGGCAGTTTTCTTAAAAATGTTACATCGGCTTAGCATATTTAAAACTTAGAACAATGTGCGTTTTATATGCAGAACATCATTTTATGTAATGTATTTGTGATTACATAACATATTAACTGTCTCTTTGCCTGACTAGTGTATTCTGGTGGACAAATGAAACAGTCAACATATGGAGTCACATCTTTGGCTGGATGCTGTTCATGGGGTTGACACTGTATGATCTTATTCTTCTCAACATCCATGCATCACTTGCAGACAAATTCATTGTTGGTCTGCTCTTGGTATGCTTCCAGGTAATGAGTTTTTTCTTTATGGTGAGTGGTAGTAAGTAATTTTGTAACTGCATCATGTACCTCAGATTCATTACTTCCTTCATTAGTTTCTTTCTAATGTTGGTTCAGTTCTCACTACCTCCCTTGTGCAGTAGTTTACATTATGTACCTGTTACCACTGTTGTTACTGTGCTTAGTAACCGATACTGAAGTAATTTCATCAGTCATTTATAAAATACATATTTGAAGCTCAGCCAAACAATATATCTATTTGTTATGTAGGTTACATGTTTTGGTATAAATCTTACACCATCATTAGACTTTTTCGATAAAGTGTGTAGAGATGGAATTTTACATGTTATTGTATAGTGTTACTTATGGGTTATTTTATACCTGCTTAACACAATGGAATGCTGTCATTTAAATGTACATAATTAATTAGCCAGGACATTATGTTATGAACTTAAATTGCCAGTATCACTTACTCCTGTAAGAATTCAACTAAAGACTGTTGCTGGGCCCATTTGTGCAGGCTTATAGAAGACTGAAATGTGTCAGTTTCTTGACGACTGCATTAACGTGTGGACTTGAGGTTCTCGTGGCAGTGACTATGAACAGTATAGTCATCTGGGATGTAGCAGTGTGTAGTTCAGAGAGAACCCAACATTTTGAAGGAACATATCACCTTCGTTATTAGCGCCAAAGAGTAACCCAAGCAAGGAAGCAGCAGACTCAGATAACAAGCAACTCAACTTGTCTTATTTTTTGACCCAGAAAATGGAGGTGATGTATTCCTCTGGGATGTTGAGCTGTCTCTGAACAATATGGTGTTACAACCTTTACATTAATCTGTGTTGTATGGTGCTGGGAGTCATTATTGCAATAATTGCTCTACTGTTTTGGAACCACATAGAAGAGAGTAGTTTTGATTTCTTCGAAGGGCATTCTCTCTTGCTTCCCAATCCGCCCTCTCTCAATACTTCATAATTCATTCCACGCAGAAGACAGATTAATGCCTTAAAGATGCCAGCATAGCTTTCTCCCATCTCTTGCAGTTCACCAGTTGCATTTATTCCTCCATATCATTTGATTCTACTTAACCTGTATGGTTGAAATTTCACTCTTGTAATTGAGATATGTATCAAATACTGTCTTGAAGTATTGTAATAGAATACGTAAAATTAGATTCATTTCAAAACAGCTTTGTAAAGAACAAATGATAATGGAATATATGGGAGCAGTATGATTGGTTTGTTTTGAAGTACATATATTACCACAAAAGTGTATAATTTCATTATTTCACAGAATACTTAAGTATACTGTATGTTAACTTAACAGTCAAAGTGTCTCCTGGGATGTGATGGTGTGTACTTTGGTAGATAGGTACAAACATTTGGAGAAAATTGTTGCCTTTATCTTCAGGGTACAGAAGTTTTACGAATAACAAAAAGTAGGGTTTAATTGTCATAAAATACACATATCATTCTTCAGTAATCTAAATACACAGACTTTAGCCCTTATATGCCCCATAAATGCTTTATTTAAAATTCAAATCGATATTCTGTGTTATGACCACATTGTGGTCCATATCCAATATTTACATACTTTCTTACCGAGTTTTCTACAAGAGCTGTATTTTGCCGTTTAATAATACAAGTTAGTTTACTGTGTATTCTTCTCATCACACATTCTAATGATTAAGATTATGATCATCTAGGATGTGGCAGTGAGTAGTTTGATGAATAGTTACCAGTGTTTAAGAAGAACCTGCTTCCTCCATTTTCAGGATAGATATAAATAGGTTAAGGAAACAGGTTCCTTTGAAATGCTGATACCCATCTACCAGACTACATGATGTCACATCCCAGAACAGCATAATCTTTTTACTCACCACTTTGTGAACATAAAATCTCATATACTGTAACAATATTACACATTATGCATCTTACGGTTTGTTGCAGGTGTGCATGGTTTCGTCCTCCATGTATCACACATTTTCTTGCCGCTCTGAGAGGGCATTCATGTGCTTCCTATCATTTGACCTGTTTGGTATTGCACTGAGTCTATTAGCAATATACATGTCTGGAATATACTATGCATTCTGGTGTGAGAAAGTGAGTAAAGTAATTTTTTACTGAAAGGCATTTATATTAGTTTATATTCATGACTTTTAACTTTTAAATAATTTGTCATCCTGTCTTCAAACTTAAAATATGCATGCTTACTTACTGCAGGGAGAATCCTCTATTGATTCCTGTCCTGAACCAGAACAGTCCAGTACATACCACTGCATCATATCTCTCTAAGCTCCATTTTAATATTATTCACCTATCTGCATCTAGACAGACAGATATTGCACTGAGTCTATTAGCAATATACATGTCTGGAATATACTATGCATTCTGGTGTGAGAAAGTGAGTAAAGTAATTTTTTACTGAAAGGCATTTATATTAGTTTATATTCATGACTTTTAACTTTTAAATAATTTGTCATCCTGTCTTCAAACTTAAAATATGCATGCTTACTTACTGCAGGGAGAATCCTCCATTGATTCCTGTCCTGAACCAGAACAGTCCAGTACATACCACTGCATCATATCTCTCTAAGCTCCATTTTAATATTATTCACCTATCTGCATCTAGACAGACAGATATTGCACTGAGTCTATTAGCAATATACATGTCTGGAATATACTATGCATTCTGGTGTGAGAAAGTGAGTAAAGTAATTTTTTACTGAAAGGCATTTATATTAGTTTATATTCATGACTTTTAACTTTTAAATAATTTGTCATCCTGTCTTCAAACTTAAAATATGCATGCTTACTTACTGCAGGGAGAATCCTCCATTGATTCCTGTCCTGAACCAGAACAGTCCAGTACATACCACTGCATCATATCTCTCTAAGCTCCATTTTAATATTATTCACCTATCTGCATCTAGACAGACAGATATTGCACTGAGTCTATTAGCAATATACATGTCTGGAATATACTATGCATTCTGGTGTGAGAAAGTGAGTAAAGTAATTTTTTACTGAAAGGCATTTATATTAGTTTATATTCATGACTTTTAACTTTTAAATAATTTGTCATCCTGTCTTCAAACTTAAAATATGCATGCTTACTTACTGCAGGGAGAATCCTCTATTGATTCCTGTCCTGAACCAGAACAGTCCAGTACATACCACTGCATCATATCTCTCTAAGCTCCATTTTAATATTATTCACCTATCTGCATCTAGACAGACAGATGTTTGCCTGTATGAACTTTACTATACTGTCGTGTAGTATGTGTGTGACTATAGATGGGTTTGGATTGGTGAATGAATATATTGACCACTTATATACATACAACTTGCAACTACAAGCAATTACAGTGCCACCACTAATCTCCATACTTCACAATCACCACAGTACTTATTAAACCTTCTCCAGCCTGCTGTGTCTTCATGAATCATTCCCTGCAACGGCTTTTAACAGTGGTGATTCTTCAGCTTCATGCGGTCGGGTTTGCTCCTCACAGCCTCCCATACACAATTGCCTAACAACTGACTTTGCCCCTTGGTTATAACAACTCGGCATGGACCACATAGAGACAGACTGTTTCCAACAGTAACTCTGTTATTGCATGTGTATTCATTGCTGTGGGAACATGTTTACCGAGCTGTTGCCCAGAAGCAGTCACTGTTTCAGAGTCGCCTATGAGCAACAGCTCTATATGCCACAATACTTTTCATTTAAACTCATTTTAAGCAACCTAACTAGTTTTATGCACATCCCAAACCCTGTTAGAATGTTACTGTAAAACATTGCCCTCCTAACTGAATTTGCAGGCTTTCTGGAAACCTTGAATATCTGATGTACTGTGAGAAGTAATCATCTGTTACATTGAAACCCACATTGATGATTCCCAATAATTTCACCTATATATGGGGCGGGTTTTCTCCTAGTACTTTGGGTTTCCCTGCCAATCTTCATTCCACCAAATTCTCCATCATCATAATCACCCGGGGGCAGGTACAGTAGACCAATCAGTGGCCGCTGTGCTGAGTGGACCAAAGTTGGACTCCACCCCCCACTAAGCGATTTTAAAATTTAAAAATTTTAAGGATATTATATAGAATTTTGTATGAAGTTGATAACGATGATATCCTTGTATTTACTACAGTCATTTTCATCACCCATCTTCTGATTGGTACAATAATAGTTTCCTTCCACTGATAAGGCAATTTTTCCTTACTCTGAATAAAATTAATGAGTTTATGGACCTCAGACTAATGTTTCACCTCATGCTTGAATCATTCCTATGGCAATTTGATCATTACTGGGCAATTTATACATTTTCAATTTTGCAATAGAAGTGTCAACATAAAAAGGACTAGGCTTGGGTAATAAGAGCTGAGCCATATTGTTTCTGTGTGCCTAATATCACTGGCCCTGTGTACATTCAATAGCTGAGAGGAGTAATTCTTCCACCTGTTAAAAATATTATTATTCTTTACTAAGTTACTTCTAGGCTGGTAATCCTTCTTAAATTCTTTCATTCCTCTATACAGGTCTTTAAAATAATATGTAAATAATATATAGAATAATGCAGAGTAAATCAAATACTAACATGAAAAGTTAAACAGTTCTGTCTAGTGTGACTGGTGAAGATTTTTCTTATTTCAATTTTCATTTCATGCATCCTGTTGTGTTACAATATACAATCTTTTTATTATATCTCATCTCATCTCATTTATTTACATTCCATAAATCCACTACATGTAGGATAAGGAATTAGTCATTGATAGTACAAATAACACTACTCAGAAATAACAGTGTAAGATTCATTACATTATTCAGTACCATAATAGATTGCAGTTAATTATTGGAGTCAAATTTACAATCAAAGTATTCTTCCAAGGAATAAAACGAGTTCATCAACAAAAATTTTTTAAAACAATTTTAAAATCTTTAACATCTTGAGCCAAGTTCCCTATATTAGGAGGAAACCAATTAAAAACATTAATTCCATGGTAGTACACTCCTTTCTGAAATACAGTCAACTTACATATAGGATAATGGAATTTATTATTATATCTTGTATTCCTATTATATAACTCAGAATTTAACTTAATTTGATCTTTATTATTAACCACAAACATTGCAAGAGAAAATATATACTGAGATTGCAGGGGTAAAATTTCCAGTTCCCTGAACAATTCCCTACATGAATCTCTGTTACCAGAGTTCATTATAATTCTAATCGCCCTTTTTTGCAACCTGAAGATATGTATACTACAAGGGGAATTTCCCCAAAAAACCAAACCGTCACAACACAACTAATATCAAGATCAGACCATTTTTGGCCCTGCTACATGTTACGGCTATTGATAGCCATCATCAGGCAAACACATGATTTACACACATATACACACTACTGAACCACAGCACCAACAAGATTGGATACAATATTATTAAAATATATAAAAACACTTGATGCAAAAGNTATTATATAACTCAGAATTTAACTTAATTTGATCTTTATTATTAACCACAAACATTGCAAGAGAAAATATATACTGAGATTGCAGGGGTAAAATTTCCAGTTCCCTGAACAATTCCCTACATGAATCTCTGTTACCAGAGTTCATTATAATTCTAATCGCCCTTTTTTGCAACCTGAAGATATGTATACTACAAGGGGAATTTCCCCAAAAAACCAAACCGTCACAACACAACTAATATCAAGATCAGACCATTTTTGGCCCTGCTACATGTTACGGCTATTGATAGCCATCATCAGGCAAACACATGATTTACACACATATACACACTACTGAACCACAGCACCAACAAGATTGGATACAATATTATTAAAATATATAAAAACACTTGATGCAAAAGATACAATAAATCAAGTTATATAAAACAGAAGTATGATATAAAATAAGAATAAAATTCTTTTGGTGTTTTTACATCGACGTGTCAGTCGTTGGTTTGTGATTTGTTTTTTGTTTCGTTCCCATGGACAAGTCGGAATATTCCTACTTATGCANAAGTACGGCTGTTGCATTTGATGCTTCAGATCCACTCCTAGCATGTTTCTGTTGTAATCACAAACACCCAGGGGCTTTGTTTCTTGTTTGTTTGCTTTATTCACAACCACATGCATATCATCTTTGGGATATGTTGATATCATAGTCACTCGGCCATCGTAACTGTGAGGTCAGTGTTCAATTTAGACTGACTGGAAGAGCTGCAGAAAATTGAATGTTATGTTTACACGAATGGAGAGCGCATTANATCTCACAAAGTATTGTCCGTACTGTAGGGAATGTAAACAATGACTCTTGAGTCTTTGAGTCCCTACAGAAGAACATTAGTCAGTGTGAGTTAAGTATCAGACCTTTTTCTTGATAGACATTTGTGCACGATTTTCATGGATTTGAGTACAATAATGAAGTCCATTAATCTGTGCATCTTGCTGTTTTAAGTCTGTAATTGTATAAGAAACATAACTAAATTTAACAAATGTTGCATACAAAAAGTTGACCCATAAACATATACAGGCTGTGCCAGAACTCATTCTTTCACTCTGCCATTAAACAGGCAACACATGAGATAGTGCTGGCCCTCTGCCCAAGCTGCATGTCCTAAGGTTGGCTATGAGACATGGCTATATACCTCTGAATATTCTAGACCTTTCCATGGGATGGATATAACTGATCAGCTCCATTCTTTGGTTGCTTCTCCTCAGGGATAAGGCCATTGGTACGTGTTGGGCAATGTCCCAGAGCCCTCTAATTGTGATGACAGAAAGAAAAATCCCTCTCTTTGCCAGGAGTTCAAACTGGCTGTTCCATCTGTAGCCGGTCACTTTACTGACTGAGATATCCCAGATCCCAGATTTAATACTTTGTATATGAATATAACCATTATACTCTACATTTTTTGTCTCATATAGATTATGGCACTTCTGTGGTTTTGTTACAGGAATGGCAGATGTTCTATCTGGTTACAATTTGCCTCATCTTTGCATTTGCAATGGTGCTACAAATTCCAAAGCTAAAAATTGATGCCAACACGAAGCTTATTGTATTCCTGTCTTGGGCCCTTTATGGTGTTGTTCCTACATTCCATTGGACAGCCATCATGGGAGGCTTGGAAAATACTGTAGTGCAGGCGAGTCATATTGCTTTATTAGTATTATTTTAAGGTATGTACAAATATGGAGCAGAAAAATACTGGGACTATCCTCCTTTGTTTGCTACTGGTTTGAAAATTGTAAAAGCCAGTTTCTCATTTCTAAGCTGCTGATGTAGGCTGTTGAGCAAAACATGAAGTAAATCACAGGAAAGAATTGTGTTATTGAATAAAAAACACTGCTTAATTTATGTATATTTAGAGTTTCACGTCTTTCGTTCATTGTCACTTTCTTTGATATTTTATTATTTCTTTTATTGTAACCATGAAGTCATACTTCGATTTCAGTAATTGTTTATTCACCAGTGATGATATGTAAGAAGTTTTGTTTATTTAGTTGGGTAAGAAAAATTGGCTTTACTGACTGGAAAGACAGTACAATAGGCAATATTAAGATATTGTGTTAAAAGGTTTGAGAAACAGCAGTTATGTGAGCCCTAGTTTATACATTCCTTTTCATGGGGCTTCAAAAGTTGTGCAGAATGAATTTTTGTATCCAGGGCAGAAGTAAATATTTGTCTTGTACAACTCTATGACTTTCAGGGTGTCTCAGAAGGAAACATGTAAATAGGGACTAAAGAGTTAATAATTTTCACAACAGCCATTCCTTCCTGTCATTAGGGACTAAAGAGTTAATAATTTTCAGAACAGCCATTCCTTCCTGTCTATACAATTTCATTTTTTGGAGTCTACTGGAAATTAGGGCCACTTTTCATGGATGTAAAGCAGCATAAGGAATAAAGTCAAGCTTTCCTCTATGCTGAAAAATACCATACTTTGAATACATGGGGGCACGCGGTAACGTAGTTGGTTGAGGCATTAAGCTACAAACCAGGAGGTCACAGGTTCAAGTCCCGATGAGGTCATTGGATTTTTTCCAATTGACCTAATCCTTCCAACCGCACTATGGCCCTGGAGTCGACTCAGCCTGTAACAGAAATGAGTACCAGGAATTTTTATGGCGGGTAAAGGGCAACCGGTGCATAAGGCTGACAACCTTACCGCCATCTTTGAGCCGATTGTCTAGATAATGTGGGACCCTCAGCATTTCACAACCCTATGGGCCTTCACGGCCTGTTACAGGGATAGCTTTACTTTACTTGCTTTTACTTTTACTTTGAATACATAAAAGGCATTCTTAAAGTTGGCAGTAATTGGAGGCAATGGTCACCTCCATGCTCCATATACTTGGTCCCAAGGGAAAAAAGCATTCCCATTTCCAGCTGGGTAGGATAGACTGGCTGGGCCTAGAGTTAGTCTGGATATGTTGGCAACAAAAAGATCCCTTTCCCCATTCCGGCATTCGGCCCATAGCCACTCACTGTACTGAGTAATTGTCAAAATAACTTTACAGAACTGCACATAACGTGTTCACATATGTTGGAAAGCTCAATTATGTAGTTCCACAAGGCTACTATAAATGATTCATTCGTTTTTAAAATACTATATTTTACAACATATCATACGTACAAATATGATTGATATATAAAAAGAACCGTAAACTCACTAAGTTTGTATTATGTGCACCAGTTGGCAGCACGAGTTCAGTGCCTTTACAAAATGGCGACAAAGCAAGAAAAGAGTTTTTGTTTGTTGGAATATGCGAGATGTTCGTCTCTTATAGCAGCGCAACGCGCATTCAAAAGAGAGTACGGAAAAGAACCGCCATGTAAACAAAGCATTTGGCGGTGGTATCGGCAATGTTCGTCCCTACCTAAACAATGAACTTCGGCATCGCTGGATTGGGCGTGTTGGTGAGGATGACGTAGCTCTGTTCACTTGGCCCCCTGATCTCCTGATCTAACTAACGCCTTGTGACTTCTTCCTTTGGGGTTACATTAAGGATCGTGTTTACGTACCCCCACTAGTAGAGCTGAGGGAACTCATCGATGCTGCAGTGATGACCATTGACAAGATGATGCTACAAAATGTGTGGTACGAGCTCGACTACCGCCTGGACGTGTGTCGTGTGACCCAAGGGACACACATAGATCATTTGTAGAGTGTGAAGAAAACTTGGTGAGTTTACGGTTCTTTTTATATAGCAATCATATTTGTACATATAATGCTTTGGAAAATATAGTGTTTTAAAAACGAATGAATCATTTATAGTATCCCTGTATATTGTAAACTTGAAGCCATATATCATGGCTCCTCAATATTGTGCAATGTTGTAGCATGGAAATTTATGTAGTATATAATTCAAATCATCATGTACAAGTGCATTATATCGGTTTGTTATAATGTTGAGTTTCTGTGTACTCCCTTTTGGGTATGGTTCAGAATTTAAAAAGGAAAAAAGGAACTTTCAACCTTTAACTACCCTAGTGGATAATATTTTCCCACATATGATATGTACATATTATAAGATAAAGGTTAAATTATGACTGTTAATAACCACTGTGTCTGCATATGCCAACATGGTGATGTAAATAAATCTTATAAATGTAACTAAATTGAAAATCTGAGGAATTAATTTTAATTTTGTGAGCATTCTTCTACACAACTGTAAGTCTTGATATTGTTTTGAATTATTTTCTTAGCTGCTGAAATATGAAATAACTTCTTTGAATAGTTAATTCAGTTTTCTACTGTAAAGGTTAGCTTTGTTGTTAATTGAATTATCATCATATAAGTTCCTATAGAATCTAGAAGGGCAAGTGTACATCAGCCATTCATCGGATACTCTTCAACATGTCATTTCCCCTGTAATTAGGATTATTAATTTATTCAGCAGACCCTAATTAAGGAATAGAACAGAATAATCATTAAACTTTAGCTGTTGGTGAAGATAGTATGATGAAGAGTTAGGAAGAAAATGTCTGTAAATATAGTACACTCATATAAAATTTCCATTTATTAGGATAAAAGTCTCTAGGAATACCTTTTGTTCATGTTAGACATGCAGCATAACTGAAATCCCTGAAGGAGGTTCTTGTTCTGCTTTCCCAACAAAGTTTTCTGAATGACAAAGCATCTGACTTTTTCACCATCAGATCCTCTTACCACGAGTTTTGGGGATGTACGCCATTAGTGGACTGGCATTCCTGATCTACATATCTAAATTTCCAGAGAGGTTTTGGTCAGGTAAGTGAAACTTGGTATATTAGGAATATGATGAACCTGACCTATTTTGTAGGTTTTAAGATTCTCACAGCCGTAGTCATGAAGAGTTCTTTCTGTGTTCTGTGATATAATGCTGTGTAGTTTGTTGAAAGTTAGCCAATGTTTCAGAGGAACATGGAGGCAAAATGGTCCTCCAAAATGTCGGTTGACTATCAAACGGAGTATGTTGCATTATTTCCCACATTTCACCACTGTGGTGAGAACCTCTAATCCTACAAATCGTTTATCATTCAGTTTCAGAGAATTCGTTTGCAAGCATTTCAGTTTTAAATTACTGTGCTGGTTTCATATGTACAAATAGATATAGTTACTAATCAGGATTTTAACCTGATACCAAAAACACTCAAAATATCAAAACCTTCGCAACATATATGAAATTTGCTTAAATTTTAATCCTCGTACTTTATAAACAGCAAGTGCTTTTTCATCAATGCTTGTGGGGTTGACAAAAGAAAACTAATACATAATGAATTGGCGAGATGTATTTTCTTTAGTTGATTGTTTAATGACAGTGCCAGTACTGAGGTTACACATTATTAGGATGAGATGCAGAAAGAAAGTTGTGATATGTTAGTGGTAGAGTGTAAGTCCTTAGTTCTGTACCAGTCCAGGCAACCTACACTTACTGGGATTATCTGTTTCAGTCATAGAAGATGCTCTCACTTAGCACATTTATTACCAACAGTGCAAGAATTTTTTTTATCGGTACAGTTGCAACATGTGTTTGTGTGACTGTTGCTGGGAAAAATTTCCTGCAGTTTTTGTTGTGTCCATATATAATGACCACACTTCTGGAAGGTTCAACATGCATCTGTCATCAGGGGCCAGATATAAACATGAAGATTATTGTCTTCTGAGATGTAATCATTGTTAGATCATTGTAAACATTTCACATACACATATACACGTATACCACTTCAAGAACTTCAAGAGGATGAATCCACCGGTCAACTGCATATAGACATCTTTCCTATGTTATATTTAAACAGCCCCACAATCATACATCATCCACCCCAACCTGGTAGCCATTCATACAACATACTGTAATCTATTTTTTATATTTTTACATTTTATCATCTTGCATAAGAAATTTATCACAAGATTCAGTAAAAATGGATCCATTTAGCCTTGCAATTCAGTAATGATGTGTTTCATTTGCTTATTTGTTTGCGTCTGATGGCAGTTGATGGTTCAAAACATGTAACACAATACACATAGAATTGATTGTTGTATCATGTATTCTAATTGATTTTATTGAAATCATAGGCAATCTATTTTGTTGTTGTGTTGACCATTGAATACAGAGGAGCTTGCTAACAGATGGAGACAGCATGTTGGTAATGATCCAACATAGTACATGGCATCACATCCCAGGAGATAATTACTTTTGTAGTCACTGCTGTGAGAACTTCAAATCTCAGGGGTCTAACATGTTTGTTGGTTTACAGGTCGGGTTGACTATATCGGATCCTCACACCAGTTGTGGCATCTTTTTGTAGTATTGGCACTGTACTACTGGCATAACACAGGTATCAAATATGTAGAGTTCAGAATGAATCATGGCTGTGCTACTGACATGAAACTATGACAGTGCAGACTGGATAGGTTTTTATGTAATTCCATCTCATATTGAATCATTCTTTCAATTTTCATGGAAGAACAGGAGAAGAGATCAAATTCTTGTTACCCAGATGATGAGTTATAGCTGAATCACAGATGAATTTCATATCAGCTGTCATAAGGTTTCCATTATTTATTTTATTCTTAACATCATAATTTTATGATTGAAGAACTTCATGAGGCCTTGTTGCTGACACATAAGAAAAACATTTGTTATGCCTTCTGGGATGTATTTCCATGCAGTTCAGGAACAGTCCAGTGTTTCAGAGGAATATGTCTCCTCTGTCTTCAGAGTTGAAGACTGACCTTGAAGATTGAGGTGATATGTTTCACAGAAATTTCAGACTTTTTCTAAGCCGCACAGCATTAGAACACAAAGAATATCCTCTTCACAGTTGCTGCTGCAAGAACCTCAAATCCAACATTGTAATGCCAATTACGTCTTCAGCAACATTACGGACCATTATTATGTAAGCATATACATAATTTTAACTACAGCTCACTTAAAATTTTACGTTTTTGGTAGTTTTGTGGACAATATCAACAATGTGCTTATTGGTTATGTTTAAATATATTTATCATGTATCAGTGAATTGGTACTGGTTGATGTTACCATGATGATGAATGATGCAAGTATTCATCAGGTACAGCAGTTTGGAGGTCTAGATGGTGTTTAATGTGTTCATTACCTGGTGTGCTGAAAGAATGCAACTGTATGATGAAGAACTGAAACAAACTTCTGGGGTGCAACACAGCAGGAACCTTAAGAAAGAGTTTGATTACACCCAAGGTATACTCAACAACTGGAACAGTTAAATTTCCTGCTTTTGTCTTAATAGCCCAAAACAGAATGCAGACAAATGGTTGTGATGATGAATCTTCAGGTTCCTTAATACCTGGAATTCCATTACTAAAGTAACACATTAAACATTTGACACTCAAAAGACATTGTCATTCGTGCCCTGTATCATAGTTTGCTTACAAAGAAACATGTACAACAATGTAATAAAAATATATCTTATTCTTGTGAACAATATATGGAAGAGTCTGGAAAAAAATAGTGCTGGAAGGAGTTCTGTGCCCTTTAGCTTTACAGAATTAATTATCAATCAAGATTTTTGAATAATTTTAAACAAGCCAGTGAATATGGAAAAATACAGCGTGTAACAGTCTGTAACAGCCATTATATTTTTAACCAAAGATGAATAAATAATTAACATCCTAACTTGAACTGGCATGCTGAATTAGAAGACTGGACAACAGTGGTTTCAAAGAGTACTTATTTTTTAATTGTGATGCCTTATAGTCTAGAAGAAGTTTACCACTGCTTGTCCAAAATGTTGGTGAATTCTTCCAAACTAAACAGCATCACATCCTAGAAGATGGTACTCTTCATAGTTACTGCTGTAGGAACCTTAAATCCAACACCAGATCTCATGCATCAGTATCACTGAGAGAAATATTACATTTAATCTTTAATAATCATGTTCCTGTGTTAGGATGCAGTGATAAAATTTAAAATTTAATAATTACCTTGTAAGTAATAAAAATACAATCAAAGAGCTTTATTACAATATAACAGTATGGTTTTTGAAAATCATAATTGTAAAAAGTAGGATAAAAAGTTTAAAAGAAGATAAATGTTGATTTTAATTATTTCATATGAACATTTAAATTGTCATAAGAGAACTGGCAATAAATTCTTTAGAAATATTAGAAAAAGGTTCTTCTCTTTGTACATGCATAAATCGTGACTTTCTAATGACATTTATTTCAGTGGCTTTCTTATCGTATGCTTATATCCAGTGTTCAATTTGTGGCAAAATTCAAAATAGCAAAAAAATAAATTCCTGAGTGAAATCTCTTTTCTTCTCTGCAGACAGAATGAGAGTTACTGAGTTGTTTTAGGAAATTATTTCCTAATAAGTAATCTAAGAAGTGCCATTGGACAGCTACCCTTGTAGATGCTGGTATAGCATCATATGTGTTGATTTTGTTTCAAGATACTACAAGTCTATCATGATGGAATTGTATTATGAGAAACTGAACTTAACTTTACCCTTATATGAAGCAGATGCCTGAAACAATAAAGTGGCTTGGAATGTCCTTGAAGATTGTACAGCACAAAGGAAGTGCGTGTTGCTGAGTTTACACAAAATGAATTTAAATTTCAGACGTCTGTAACTACAGACTTTGACAGAACAAGTTTCATATAAATGTGACATAACATTCCTCTTTGATGGTCGAGAACAGAAAATTTTCGGAGGCTGTGTTGCCGAAACAGAGGAGCGTGCTAATACCCTTGAGGTGGCTTGGTGGCTTACAAGTCTCTAATCATGAAAAGAAATGAGATTATACAGAACAGATGTCTCAGGTCTGAGGTACGAATAACTTCAGATCAAAATTGGGCTGAAGTTTTTTTAATTTTATCAGATAGCAAATTAAAATTATATGAAATGTTATAAATATTTGCCACTCACCTGCCAACCCTCAAACGGAATATTAGTGTGAGAAATGTCTATCAGAGATTGAAGGTGTAGAACAAATTGTTTAGATGTTATTGTGTCAGACATTCTTGGCTTAAGTGTTGTGTGTATGTGAAGCTGATTTTTTACAAGGGATCAAACCTGCAGCAAATTTCTCTCATCTATGTAGCCTTTGTCACGGCTCAGTTAGTTTTACTTTCCCAGATTAAATGAGCATGAGAGTGTTCAAACAAAGTTTTCCTGACCTGTTCTTGATGTGAGCACTGCACCAGAATTAAAATGATTTTTGTCTCATGCTGATTGCTAATGATTTTTCACCATGTTTCTGACTGTCATACTGGGTTAGTATGCTGGTTTTCATTTCTGGCAACAAGAGAGAGATTAAACAAAATTATAAGTGTTTAAATTAGATCTTCAGATTGCATTTAAATGTAAATTTCACTTGCTTCTTTGATGTGGCTCTCCTTACCTACCTAATTTTTGCTTGGGAAACATCATCATTTACTTCAAAGTGTGTTTTTATGTGTCTGCTGCATTACAGACACTGTTCTTCCATCGTCTTCTTGGTTGTTCAACATTTCTTCATCTGTTTGGTTGGAAATTCTTAATTTTTGGGGACAGTCTTGAAGGGTCCATTCTTAAGATGTGATTATGTCACTGCTTGTAATGAAGGGAAAGCTTCTAATGATAATACATTTGTATCAAAATATAGTGGTTACTTTTTTCATATCACTTTATAGTTTTGAATAATTTATGACAGACTATTGAGATCATAATCTAGGTCTTTAGATTTCCTTTGTTTTTCATAATATTTGTTGATCACTTTTTTAGTGAGTCCGTATAATGGCGATATTTATTACTGGACCAGTGATTGAGGCTAGCTCTTTCTAAGGGACCCAACAGAATAGGTGTTTTCCCTCACCTGAGGACGGAAACAGATCCAGTTTCCGAAACGTCGTGTTTTTCTTAGTTATCTTAAAACCAGGACGATGGATAAAGTCCGAAAACCCAATATCTCTGTGTGTTATACACCATCGTCAGAACCCTATAGCAATCCTTTTCCTTGTTTTGACAACTGAATATGGAGATTCAAGAATATAGGAGAATTCGGCGGATATCAATAAAATATGATTCAGTATGTTTGCAGGAAAGATTTCAATGCTTGTTGTCTGAATCATTCTGAAGTTTCTTCCGTAACAAGGGTTGTTGCAGGGCTATGTAAATACTGCGTGATACTTAGAACTGTCATGATCATAATTATTTTTCATGACCTATTGTTCACAGTCATTTTGAAGTTTGGTCTGCGAGCTAGGATTCCAGTAGGCCTACGAAAAGATTCCACGACATTTAGCACTGTCATGATCATAATTATTTTTCCGCGGCTGCTTTTGAATAGTCGCCTGTTCCGCCCAAGTTTTGCTAATCCCAACAATCCCCCAGCTTTTTCGTATACTCTTTCTTATTTCTTTTCTTCCTTTAAAGACAGACGGCGACAAAAACCTAAAAATAATGGCCTGAGAAGTTGCTCATCATTTATCAAGAGTTCTAATGTCTACCAGAGCTTCCGAAAGCTGAGCAAACCTTCCAGATATGTAAATCGTCGTGTGGCGATCCAGCTTTTATGAAATGCAGATGTGAATAACGAAATAACTGAAAATTACCAGTACTTTTTAAAATTTTGTCTTATATTGCAACATATTAATTAAAATTAATTATAATTTTAAATTTTCATTACTGCACCGAAATCCTGGAATCTTATAACGATACTACAGAGTATCTACCAATCTGCCGAAAATCTGGGATGGCTTCATTTTGAGTTACCAAACTTCTTACTTTAAACAAGATCTCAGCAGACTTCTTGTTAATTTGTTCTTGCTTGCTTTGACATACTCTTCCATATTGAATATGGAGGCAATAGTTCCCCTGAAACATCGGCGAACTCCATCCGGGACTACATCACATCCCACAATATAATAAAATTCATAGTCACCGCTGTGAGAACCTCAAATCCTTCTGCCACTGTACCATACACTAGTCTTTCCTCAGTACAGATTGTTCTCAGAAATGAGTCTCGGGTACCATATCATAGAAGTGTCTGAGTAGTTCTGCTTCAGGGCTGTATCTGACGTAGACTAAGTTTTCCTTTAATTGTTAATTTTAATTTATAGCCAAATCGCGAATAACGGCTGTAGCTAAAGCGACAGGATTAATCCCTTCTTGCTTGATATTGTGTCAGAGTGTTGCGGAAGTTTAGTCTGTCTCCCAGGCAGAGTTAAAATAGTGCAATTAAAAAGACTAAGATGAACCCCTCTGCCATCCATCGTTTGCCTCCCTCCCAGTCTCCGATTCGACGTGGCATAAATCTCAATGTTTTTGATACATCGTTGTTTAATATAAACAATTTTAAATATATTCCACCAATTTAGATGTAAGTCTTATAATTCGAGTCTAACATATAAAAGCCCTTTGTGTTGCGTGATCTTTAGAAATGTAACTAAAACATTCCGGTAGCATTCGCCACAGAATATAGGTCTATTTGAAAAGTCGACGTTAAGTTTCTTACGCGGTAAGGTTCAGAGGAGGTTAATTTAATTATTTTTCACGGGATGAGACTGAGTCCACTCGGTAGGGTTCGGAGGAGGTTAATTTAATTATTTTTCACGGGATGAGACTGAGTCCACTCGGTAGGGTTCGGAGGAGGTTAATTTAATTATTTTTCACGGGATGAGACTGAGTCCACTCGGTACTGCGGCCACTGTTTCGACTACTGTACCAGCCCCAGATGATAAGTGATGAGTGTGGAGCAGTCGGTGGAATGAGAATTGGCAGGGGAAACCGAAGTACTTGGAGAAAACTTCCCCAGGGCCACTTTGTACACCACAAATTCCACATGACCTGACCCGGGCTCGAACCCGGGCCGGCGCAGTGGGAAGCAGGCGACTAACCGCCTGAGCTATGCCACGGCCTTCAGAGAAGGTTAGTTATTAACTTTCTGATCACTGCACAAAATAATAAATATTCTGTGACAAATGAAGTGACAAATTACAAGTATACGATACAGAATCTTATGGAAAGTCAAAACATTTTCAGGTTTTAACACGATTTGGTCATGGCGAACAGTATTAGGCCACTGATAAATATTTTGTAGTTTTGAATTATGCGACTTTTATACACTTTTTACTGGGTCAGTATTGTGTCCTCTACAGTCATTGTTCTTGTCTTAAAGTGAAGACAGAAGTTGCAAACTCAGACGAAAAGTAGCATGAAACTAATTGATTGTAAAATTAACCTTTATTACACGTCTAATATATTGGGCCTTAGACCAAAAATGTGGCTCTCTTTGGCGTCAGTGGAAGAGCGCATTTCTGCAGTATATACTATTAATGAACTGCCCCTTCAAACAAAAGTCGTTCATGCTCAGTATTCATTACTGAGCAGTCTGTTAAGTTTTATTGAACATTTTGAGTTTCTAACGTTTGGCCCACTTTACTATCAGATCTCCCGTTTTACTCCACTCCGTTGCGCTCCGTAGAGTGAACCAACAGACGTACGTCTGCAGTCCAGCAGTCCAACCACGGCAGTACGTGACATTGACAGTGTCGAGGTCCGCTGAACTAGTGTATCGGCAGTTCTGAATTCGTACTCGGGTACTGTGCTCGTATATCGGTCGCACTGCCGCTAATCCTGTGATTACTTATGGTTTTCATTGGTTCCTTAGTCTCCTCAGGCCAGGATCAAGACGCTACATTCAGACAGCCTACAGCCTTCTGCCTCCATATTGTTCTGCATTTGCTGAACTTCGAGTGTTGCTTTCTCATTCAGAAGATCCTGGGTTCAAATGTAGGAGCTCATACTGGCCATCATAACAGGTATTTCATAGTTTTCTTCAGCCCACCCAGGAAAATACCCGAATCGCAATTCAATTTTGGCTTCGACTGCTTCTACGCCCATTTCGGTACATTCTTCATCAGTTATCTTATTCCTGTGTAGTGTGGTCTGCTGTAACTGCAAGTGAAGTAAGCCAAGTAAATCGCGATGTTTCCATCTCATTAGGTGCTTTAAAACGTCTGCATTTCAAATGGCGTTTGAATGGCATAGTGGTCAATGTTGTTGGTTAGGGTTAGATTCAGTGAGGTTAAAAGACGCCCAGAAAATGGAGGACCAAGAGAACGTTCACTGGCCAGAATGTGGCCGGCTCCCTCGGCTTAGCCCTGCCGTCTTGTTATTGAGGACCGTACAGCGACCCGCTTTTGCACCCCCGCTGTGAGGAGAAGGTGGATCAGATTTGCAGAGAAATGCAAGTGTTGCATGGCGAATAAAAGCAAACTGTTATCTCTCATTCAAGTGTCCGACTGGGCAGCCTTGACCATTTGGGTCTTTCCTGCTGTTCTGTGCCGTTTCCATTCCGTTCTGCTCGTTGCTGCGGGTGTAACTTTGTGTGAACGCACAGACCCGCGCCAGGTCGGATCCGTTCAGACGTGTTCCAGACAAAGAAGCCATCATTGCTGATACCCCAGAACACTTCCACCCATTTTACTCACTAGAGGGATGCTGCAAGACACTGCCAAATAGGTGAAAGTCGTACAATTGTTAATATACAAAGTAGGTAAAGCTTGCATAATCTTTAGTATCCTTCTTAGTAATAATAATAATAATGGTAAGTGGTAGTAGTAGTGGTGGTGGTGGTGGTGGTAGTAGTAGTAGTAGTAGTAGTAGTAGTAGTAGTAGTAGTAGTAGTAGTAGTAGTAGTAGTAGTAGTAGTAGTAGTAGTAGTAGTAGTAGTGAAAGGTAAAGTTGCCCCTGTGCACTACGCCATGAAGACGTATGTGGGAGTTAATATATAGATCCACATTTTCTTGGCTTCGCCACTAGATGAAGGTGAGTGGTCAGCCTCACGCCCCGGCCGCTTTATCCCCGAGTAAAGAGCCCCCGTTACCCATTGGATAGGAGGTTGGGTGGGTCCTAGAACCGGTCTGGACGACGTGGAGAAGAACAAATTTTTGATCCTACCGGGGTTCGAACTCCGATCCCTCTGTCCTCCAGCCCGTAGCCAGTCGCTATACCGACTGTGCTATCCTGGCTCAATAATAATAATAATAATAATAATAATAATAGCAGTAGTCTTTTTGTTGTAAGAGAAAGAACGGTTCATGCCTCAGCGAGAACGCTGTCCATTCTCTCAGACCTGTTGTGTAGCTCCTGGCCTCCTGGTTCACAGCGACAGGTCCCATGTCACACTTCCACGTGAGTATATTTGCCTACGTATCCCAGAATCTTCCTGAAAGTATNGGAGGGAGGTATGAGCTGTGCTCACCTCCTGCGCCTGCGCAGTTTAGTCGTAAACGACTTAAAAACGTAAGGTAAGTTAAATAAACAAAAGTAAAGCTATCCCTGTACCAGGCTGTGAAGGTCCATAGGGTTGTGAGACGTTGAGGCTCCCACGTTATCTAGACAGTCGGATCAAAGATAGCGGTAAGGTTGTCAGCCTTACGCGCCGGCCCCTCTTTACTCCTCAGGAAATTTATTTAATTAATTCCTGGTACTCATTTCTGTTAAGAGGCTGAGCCGACCCCAGGGCCATAGTACGGCCGGAAGGATTAGCTCAATTGAAAAAAATCCAATTACCTCATCGGGACTTGAACCCGCGACCTTCCGGCTTGTAGCATAGTGCCTCAACCAAGTACGCTACCGCGTGCCCCCGATACAAAAGTTGTTAGAATGTGAAACGAGCAACTCGATTTATTACCGTATAAGGCTGAATATAATGCGACTCTGTTTTCCCAGTAAGAGAATCAGCAGTTGACTGTGTCTTTAATTTTGAAGTTTTTCAGCAGACATTAGTAAAAATTATGACAATAATAAATAACAGATACAAAATTTAATTAAGATCTAAAAGTTTGTGATGATGGTGCATTAATACAAATATTATGTTTCTGTACATTAATTTTTTTATTTCAAACACAACGTTTCGGAGACTGGATTCTGTCTCCATGGTCAGGTAAAAACCTACACATTTAGGCCCAATCGATAGAGATAGGGAGGTAGCTCTATGGATCGGGCTAAACTGAAGACGGAGACAGAATGTAAAATGTACAAAATTTAATACCTAAAATGTAATTAAAGTATTTTTCACAAATATCGTTAGAATTAGCGATTAGGACCTGTCGTGATAATTTTATTTGTATTCTTATTCATTAAGAACTCGAAAGTAAGGCAACCCATCTCTTATAATACGCAGTATTCAGTATTCGGCAGCTTCATAACGTGTGCTCTTCTCCAGCTGTAATTAGAATGAATACGTGAAGGAGGATGAGATGGGAAGGGCATGTAGCACGAATGGGGGAGACGAGGAATGCATATAGGATATTGGTGGGAAAGCCAGAAGGAAAGAGACCGCTGTGAAGACCAAGACCTAGGTGCGTGGACAATATTAAAATGGACCTTAGAGAGATAGGATAGGATGGCATGGATTGGATTGATCTGGCTCAGGATACGGACCAGTGAAGGTCTCTTGTGAACACGGTAATGAGCCTTTGGGTTCCGTAAAATGCTGGGAAATTCTTGAGTAGCTGCAGAATTGGCGGCTCAAAAGGGCTCAGCTCCATAAGTAAGTAAGCGTTTGAAAAAACTCTCCTTGTTTTTGAGGTAATAGGATAATCGCCGAGGTCCGTTCTTTCATTCGTAGAACAGAGAATTGCCATAAACTTAGATGAACGATACAAAAATTCCTCTCAAATCTCGGGGTTGGCTGTTGGCAAGGCCATGTGGTACATTGGGAGGCTGTGGGGTTCCGGGAAGGACGACCGCCGTTAATATTCACCAAACCATAAGCTTTCTCTTCTACACTAAACACAAAGAAATATGCAACATAAATAAACTCCGTGGCTTTAGTCCGCAAGCGAACTACACCGACCGAGCGACCGCCGCTTATCGGCGAAATTAGTGCCAACTTTAGCGGATAGAGAGTGTCGCGTGGTCAGAGCAACGAATTCCCACGGCCGTTAATCTCGATTTTCTAGACCGCAGGCGATATTTTCTTGAAATAGCTCCTCAATTGTCCTCACGAGGCTAAGTGGACCCCGTTCGAGACTTCTCAGAAACTCTCATCGCGCCGAGAATCGAACTTTGGACCTCTGGATCTGTAGCCAGGAACTCTGACCACTAGACTATAGAATTATGCACCGGGGCGGTAATCCGAAGCACGAGGTGACGTAGTCTTGTCCCCAGTAACGTGGATCTCTTGGAGTGAAAATAACAGAATTTCTTTGTGCTTACGTAAAGAGAAGCGCAGACACTGCTGATACCAAAGCTGGACACTAATGGAAAATTGTGGATGCACGGCTTCTTGATATCCGCGATTGGCGAGTGATTTCTGTGCTTCTGAACGTTAGAGTCTTCATGCCGCAAATTTTACTGTGTATGAATATCTGCTATAGACAAAGAGGGATTTGTTTAATTCTATCAAAACGATCTTCTTACTTGAAATCCTTGGAACACGGGATGTGTTCTCCCCTCTAGGAGCAATGTTCCGCCCTGTTTCGGCCCGTTGACTCTAATTATGCATAGATTTCTTGGATAATTTCTCTTTTCCAGACTTCGCTGCACTCACACCGAATTGCAGCATCTTGGAATGGTAACCACTACTGCTTCACCGCATCCCCATCTCGTTGCCATAGTAACATTCCCCTTGCTTGTGCTGTCTCACCTTCTTGTGTTATTTCTTCTTTTCCACCCTCTAATGCGCCATTTTGTTCTTTAGGGGAGGAACGTCAGTCTATGTTTTTTAGGGAGAGATGCTTGCAGGGGAGACGAAATGTCCACGTCCCCCTGGAAAATTTTACATCTGTGCTCCCTTCCCTTCAGCCTGGTCTGAAATGATGGGAACTGCTTTGCTGCTTCTCGAGCGAGTCGATGCCGGAGTATTCACCCATGAGGAAAGCAATAGGCTACCCTGTGTAGCAAAATATTCAGCCGGTCTGTTCCACAGAAAGCAAGGAAAGTAAGAACGTGGAGGAGGCCTACATTCGGGGATGGATTTCACAATAGCCTACAGCAAATGCCGGAATATGAAATTTTTGAAGTCAATTCTAAGGGGTTCAGACTATGGTATTTACACTTAGAATTAACGAGTTTTCGGTTTTTGTCCATCTTCCAGCATTCTGAAAAAAAAATCAACATTTCATAAACTGGATCTGTTCCTGTTCACAGGCGAAATGACCTTGAGGTACCTAATGAGTTGGGTCCATCAGTAATGTTTAATCTGAGTCACTGGACCTGACTGAGTTTAACTACGTATATCTAGTGGACAAAATTGAGCACGTGGATCGCAGCAATTTCACCTGAGCACGGAAAAGGATCTCGTTCCTGAAACAGCGTGTTCAATCGGAGTGTTAGGCAAGGAACAGTCTAGAAATTCAGTAATTCCTAAGTTTATTAGTACTTTAGTGACGAAGATTTAATTGCTCATTTCGCGAATGAAATTAGGAGTAATTCGTATCGTAAGTAGGTACCGAGACGCAGCACGACTTATAACAGCATCTTGTTAAAAGAAGGACTGAAACTGAAATAGTCTTAATGTGCATTCGACATACCAAATTTAATCTAAATCCGTCGAGCAGTTTCGGAAAATTAAAAATACAGAGGGACTGACTTATATTGTCTCCCGATCATGCGTTCACATGATTCGCTTCATACAAATGACTTATAACAATGGTAACGCGCCTTCTTCAGAATAAAGCCTTCGTCTGCAGCGTAATTAGTCCACAAGAAATTAACAGATTTTTATGTTGTCAGAGTTGTAAATTAATATGTTTTACAAAACAGAAGGTGACTTTCGTATTTTAAAATTTCGCCCCCCCCCCCATGATTC